TTTGACTACAGACCGGCCCACCAGGTATTAAAGCCATAAAGCCTTTGAATGAAAACAGACGCTGTTGTGACAGTGATGTACACTGTCTTGTTGGTATATGTATGATTTCTATACATTTTACGTCAGATAAAAACTTTGTTCGCAAGATTCAGATAATTATTTAATAAAAGCTAGATATTTTAAATGAGAATAAGAAAGAAAAGTATTTCTTTGTGCCCCCCTCTCCCTGTTAATGCCCTACCTGGCCCACTGGCATAACTTTGCTAGACCCGCCCCTGCACAGTTACCAGCTGTCAGCTACTTAGAAAAGGATCCTGGTGTTATTTGTCTCTCAGAACCTGTTTCTCCATCACCTGTTCAGCTCTGATGATTCAGTAAGGACATCTCCTGGTTTCATCTTCATGTTTCCCTCTCACCACATATCCAAACCGATATCATGACCAGCAGCTTTACAGCTGTGGCTCCAGCAAACATCAGCTGATACTAGAAATTAATATTAAATAAATTCTAGTATCAGCTGATCAAGCTTAAACATGCTGCTGTTGTTTAGCGCGACATCCGCTGATTTCCTCTTTCTGGTGCAAAGTGGGTGATAAATAAACAAGAGAGAAAAGCTGATCAGCTGATCATTGATCAGTTTCATGATTGAAGTAGAAACAGGAGAGGGAGGGGAGAGAATGAGAGGAGAAGAGACAGCTGTGCAGCATAAAGACGCAGAATAACTCCAGCTTTGTGTCTTTTTTCATTATAGCGAAAGTACGGGACAAACTGCGTCTCTTCTCAGCTCAATACCAAACGCGTAATATTTTCTCTGAATGAGGGACCATTCCATTTTTAAGGAGCCGTTGGCAACTCTACTAACTAAACTTATGAATAAAATAAAGTTCACTATCAGTAACATCAAAGCACCCACCCAGCTGTATAGAAACTCCGTCATGCTAGCTAGTACGCAGTACGAATTACTGTAACTGACTGTAAAAAGTCAGCACAATGAAAATAAACTATCCCTAAACTTGGTTTATATCTGACCCAGATAGACTGCAGGTCATAGCTTCTTACCTGAAGTTCAGTTCACCTGACACTCAGACCGGCGGCCGCTTCGGGTCTCTCCTCCTGCTTCCCCTTTCCTCATCTACCTGCTGGCCTCTGTGGAAGCTCCGCCATAGCCACCACCAAACAACTGAGTTATTTTTACAGCATCTGGACAATCCACCACCTCTCATTGTTCATGCCGTTACTACAAAAAAAAAAAAGTCATTAGCCCACCGGTATGCCCGATGGCCAGTCCAGCTATGTTAACCTGCAACTAGATCTGCAGCTCCATACAGCAATGTTACGACTTATTATATCTTATAACTCATAACTCTTATGCTAGCTCCCCCCAGTAGCCTACTGTCTGAAATATTCGAGGGTTGCAATAATTCTTTAAGTGTTATTTTTTCCTTGGTATTCTAATTTCACCGAAGTTTACTAAACTCAACAAACTTAATATTACTTACCGGGACATTTATTCTCTCCTCATTTTCTTTCGCTGAAAATTTGTTTTCTGCCGTGCTCTCCTACCTTTGCTAACGTCATGCTCATAGTGCAGAACCCGATGCTGCATTCATGTACACTCGGATATCTGAGCTTCACTGTGAAAACATAATCGTACATTTCATTTTTCATTGAGTTTTAGCTTCGGGGTAGCACCCCCCCAACCCGCTGGACACGCCACTGATCAAGCCAAAAATATACAGCATTGGAAGCAACAATTACTTGCATACAAATATTACAGCATTTTCTGAAGCAATATCTCAGAGGACAGTGCTGCTCTTTGCCCAACTTTAATGAGAAGTCTGTTCATTTTTCAGTCAGCCATCTGTTTTCTTCCTGTGTCACGAGCACTAAAGTCTTTCAGGGCCAAATGCACGGATGGAAAATTTTGTCTTGTTGCGCAACATGGAATAAATCAACCACTTAACAATTTAAGTAAAAATCCTTCCTGTCTTTGCTGAAAGTTCCAATGCACAAAGCCTGAGGATACACATCATGTAAACTATTTTAAGACACCAAAATACAATAACGGCTTCTTATTTTATTTAATAAGAATATGTATTAAAAAATCATTTTTTCCCTGTTTTTGTTTTATTTTTCTTTGAGTTTTTTTTATTAAAGCAGCACTGAAAGACAAAGTGCAAAGTATATTTTTTAGTAAAAGGAAAGCAGAAACATTTTGCTCATCCAGAACAAAACAAAGGTAATGCCAATCTAGCCTCAAACGACTTTGTAAAAACAAGTGTTCTTCGTAAAATTGTAAGAACAGGTGTCCTTAATCTCAAGAGCTGCTTAAAGTAAAGCTGAATGGAGAAACATCTTTATGAAGGCTGTAAGCAAGTCATCAATGTGTTCTTTGTGTTGTGTTCTCATATCTGTCTGCACTTATCAGCTCTTCCTGCTGTTCTGTTTTTTTGCTTACCCATAAATCTGTAACATCAATCTAGTAATCTTCTTGCTGCTCTTTGTCTGTTCTGTTTAAAAGTTACTGTTATTCTGTCATTCAGAAGGGATGTTTCAATGATTTTTAAAATGGCAAGGGTTGGTGAGAGGTTTAGGATTGGAAATCAGAACTTCTGTTACAATGAAAAATTAAATAAAAGCTCTTGAAATGTGGTTAAAAACTCATTGGGCCATGCTGATTTAAATGTGCAGAGACCTTCAGCTTCCATAAAATTGTATTAAGAGACGTCACTGCCCCATAATTATATGGCCGATTCAAGATTTAATACTGAGTTAACTGAGCTAATATAATATAATCTGGTTACAACAGTAAATATGTTTAATTTTACTGAGTGGTAGAAATAAATCCCAATGTCTCACATATCCTTTGTTCAGAGTTTGCAAAGTAAATGAACTTGGCAATGGTAGACAGGAGACCAAACCACTATGAGATACATGAGGGGGTCATGAGTCTATCTAAACCCGCAATGCCAAATATAAGTCCCGGGGGACACAACAGGATTCCCGCTGGAAGGCTTTGGAAAACTTCCTTTTGAGAAGGACCTTCCCTATGACCACTCATGCTAAACCAATAAAATTAAGTAATATTTAACCAATTAAATGACAGAAAAGTACATGATTTTCAACATCTATAGAAATGTTGATTAAAAAAAAATAGAACAGTCTGCTCCTTAAGCATGAAGAAACCACAGGAGGAGGAGCGTCCCAAACAGAATCTAATTCTCTGTACTTCCAGTGACCTTTTAATAGTTATAGTTTGTTAGTCAGCTGCAGGCGGTGTAAACACTTCAGTTCCAATTACGCTGGGTCTTTTCGATAGTCAGCACCAATCTGAGCTCCTCATCTAACTCTAATATCTGATGATTATATTCATGAACTTGTTTTTTCAATTAGTACTCACTGCTTGTATCCACAGGTGAGGGCAGGAACAGTGATTAGTAAATCCTTTGGGCTTAGATGTCTTTTCACCTCAACAGACTGGTACACCATTGTTTTTAGCGCAGATGCTGCATCAGTCTGTCTTTCAATCTGCTGCTCCACACATGAACATGACAAGATACTCAAACCTCCGCTTGGGACATTTCATTCCCAATCTGAAGCTGTCAATTTCCCTCCATTCTGGATGAGAAGTATGACCTCGGACTTGGAGGTTCTCGTTCCCACCCTGGAAACTTGTAAGTCACTCGCAAACCACTCTAGCTGAAGTTGGAAATCAGCACCATCAGGAAGACATTAACTGCAAAATGGCCAGTCCTTGAGTCCAATCCTCACGGGTAAAAAACGAAACACCAGTATGTGAGAGTGAAGAGGAGAGAGACGAGCTATTTTCTGCTACTTTATTCCAACTTCACGTAACAGCCTGTTGTGATTAATGAGTCACATGTGCTAACTCAAGTGCAATAAAGAAGTTATTAAAAGAAGATATTAATAGTAAAAGAGTAAAAGTAAAAGAGTGACATTTAAAGAGTACGAGAATTATGCTATGAATCTCAGTGCTGTTTTTATATCTGAATGTTGCTTAGACACACAAAATTGTAACACAAGACATAGAGAACTGTTTTGAAAATTTATGGGCTTTTTTGCATGTTTCTTTAACACGTGCTGTAAAAAAATCAACATCTCTGTGTGTCCGTGGTATTGGATTTGTGACGACAATGATCCATATGCATTACTTAACGTTGGGCTAGCACACCCACTGTAACCCCCCCCCCCCCCCCCCCCCCCCCACCCACACACACACAAAATCAATATTTGCCAGAATATGCTGAGGCTGGTGGTCTGGCATAAATGTAAAATAGAGGCAAATGATGCGTCACCCATATGTATGTATATGAATATATGTGTTCATATATTTATATCTACACATATACATATATACGGATATGTATATGGAATACCAATGTGTTTCTCAGAAGCATTAAACAGATTTATCCCCTCCCTGCATTTTCATGCCTTTAGCAACTTTTGGACGAATGATGTTTCCTTATCGGTGCTTCATAAAAACACAGAGAACAACCGTGATATCTTGCAGATTGAATATTTTCTTTGAAATAAATTAATCAGGCCCGTCCTAAACGTCTGTTAGGATTTAATTAAACCTGGAATGAAATCCATTTGTAACACTGATTCTCCCCAAGCAATATTCAGCAGCTGTTTGGAATATGGCCCAAGGCTGCAAACTGAATCACAGAAGAGTTGTTTTTCAGAGTTATAAAGGTTTTGTTTACCTCAGTTTAAATTATTCAAGATAATCGAGAAAACAACCCTGTGGGAACTTCTGTTGCACACCAACTTTGGCTTCTTGACTGTGCAACCTCTCTGCTTCTTGCAGAGACGACAGGTGTATGTGGGCCTGAAATAAATGCATTTGTAAATGTCTTTCCTCTTCACTTAAGTAGTTTTTTAATTTAAGTTAATGACCTCATCTTTGCGTAGAGGTTAAAGTCTGCACTGCAGAGAAATGCTGATAAACAGACTTGTGGCTGAGGTGGCATTATGATTTATTGAAGCTCCTCTGCAGCAGTGATTCACACAGTGGTCAAGCAAACACCTTCATTGGCACGCATGAATCAAATTCCAGGCGAAGCTTTGGCCAGAAAAATACAAGGCTGCTTTTACTTTTTTTTTTCATGTGCATATAAATCAGCTTCAAGTTTAAAAAGACACAAATACATAAGGCAATATTTAAAATAGCATTCACTTACATAGTAAATCTGTTTGTGAAATACTGTCACAGAGGATACAGTTGTTCTTTTTTGTCACAGTGCAACATATTTAAGGCAGCAACAAGTTACACAACACATACATAAAAATACATTCAGTTTAGTCTGTTTCATTACATAAACATGATGAAAATAGTTTTTTATAGTCACATGTACATGCTGAAAGTGAGAGAACAACCCACATGTGCAAATTCACAGAAATATCTACACAAGCCACAAAGTCAAGGAGCTTTGATTTAAAATCAGCACATTTTATAAGTGGACTTTCATCGTTTCCACATTGAGGCTCTTTTTTCGGCTTTTTGCTCAGAGGAAATCATTAATAACAACAAGTTAAAGCAGCTTTCTACTCATTTGTGGTTGTTGCCCTGCATCAAATACAGGAACGCAATCATAACAAGAAATGCTATTATGCCTGAGAAATACACTGACCTTTTTATATATATTTTACAGCTGTGCCATCCAAAATTTTAGATGATCATCGACAAATTCTTGTGCGCAAGCATTAGAAAAAGGTTCTTGACATGAGAATCAGCAGGTGAACAAAGCACGGAGGTGTGGTATTTGTTGCTGGTATTCTTCTCATTTCCAGAACAATCTTGTTTGAGTGCTCTTATCCTCTATGAATGGCTCAGAAATTCTTGTGCAACACCTCATTTCTTCAAAATAGCTTTTTTGAAACAAGCTGTTTTAGCCTGTTTTCTATTTCAGCATTGATTGCTTTGCCACTTTAGCAAATTTGTAGTTTATAACTTGGAGAAAAACTCGTAAAACAGTCCAGATGTAGACACAGTTCCATGGAGTGCATGAGAAAGAAATGTACTGAGGGTTGAGGACTTTTATGCATATATATATATATATATATATATATATATATATGCTTTCAATATGCACTGTATATGTTTTGAGGAGAATGGCACTCCCAAACCTGGAGGTAGTCTGTATATACTCTGTTAGATGTGCCATATATAATTAATTTACTGTGGCATTTATGTTCTATGCTGCCACAATACTTCAGTGTCATAATCCTGCACATACAAAGTTAATAACAACAAGCAATATGTTAGCTCTCTTGACCGCAAAAGGTAAATAGAAAATATTTTCCGAGTGAGAAAGAGAAGCAATCTCCAATTGCTGGTCACTTCAAACTTGAAATTGCACTTATGAATGGCATTCACTACAAAACAAATTAGCACTTGTCTGAAGAGAAATGTGCTATATTACAAGATGTTTGTAAACCTACCTCTTCAGCAACCTGAAACCAAAGATGGGTGCCCAAATAAATCATTTACCAGCAACATGTGAGATATCATACTCTCAGAGTCCATGTTGGCCAGGTTTCGATTTAAATTGCAGGCTGTGGGTTCACAGCGGACCCTTTACAGGCAGCTCACACATACAGCAGAGCATGCGAGCAGCAGAAAATCTCTTTGAAGGTTTTTCTCATCTCTTGGCTGCGAAAAGCATAGATGATGGGGTCAATGACAGAGTTGCACATGATGAGGATGAGGTACATGTTGAAATGGGACATGAAGCAGGTGCAGTAGGGGTTCCTGGGGCAGCTGATCATAAGGATGAGGTGGAGGAAAAAAGGCGCCCAGCATACCACAAATACCCCAAGGAGAATGGTGAGGGTGATGGCCCCCTTCATGTTGGCACGCTGCTGGATGGGAGCGTTGCCCGGTAGGGCTGCGATCCGCTTCATGTGCAGGCGAGCCAACAGGAACATGTGGACATAGAGTGATGCCATGAGCACCAGCATGGTGAAGAACATGGTGATGAGGCAGATGAGTACAGTGGTGCTTTCCGAATAGATGATGAATAAGATGCCGGAAATGGTGCAGCACGTCCAGATGCTGCTGATGACCAGCATTGCACGACGCAGGGTGACAATGTTGTGGTATCGCAGGGCATAGAAGATGGTGATATAGCGGTCGATGGCGATTGCTAGCAAACTGCAGATGGATGCCAACAGAGAGCTACAGATCATAGAGTCAAACACATTGTCCATGCTTTTAATCAGTGTGACAGGAATGGTCAGGCTGCCGCCATTGATGAGTGCTATAACAATAGTCTCTGAGGCATTAGAGACACTGACGAGCATGTCAGCAACTGCAAGGCTACAGATGAAAAAGTACATAGGTGAATGAAGGTTCTTGTTTTTGATTATAGCAGCAACAACCAGGATGTTCTCCAGCAAACTGATGATGCCCAGAGTCAGGAAAACCTCAGTGGAAATAAGCAGCTGCTCATAACATCCAGAAGATGAGTCTTTTTCCTCTCCTGATAAGTCTTTGTTAAATGGCAAATTGCCTGAGGTTTGGCTTCTGTTGTGGTAGCCTTGGATCAGTCCATGGTATTCTGTGGCATTCATAATGGCTTCTTTTAAATTCCCTTCTCCTTGGGTTATTTCTCCGTTGTTAAGTGTCCAGCTATGTTGTCCGTTTTAAAGTCTCAGTGTGTGTGGCTTTGGATCATCCTCATTATCTGGAGGACAACGTCTGCGCCCCCGAAAAGAAGAAAAAAAAGAGTAAAAAAAACTCTTAGCCAGTGCTCCTTCTTCCCTTTTCCACCCTTCTGGCGTTCCAAGAGACAATTTTCTTCAAAGATTTGCTGCAGTTATTGTTCTCAACAAAACACAGTCCCACAGCTCTCCTCTCATCTCTCCACTCTGGAGGGAAACAGTGTAGTGAGAAGTTAAAGTAAGAAGATGTAAGGCAGATAAGTGAAGCAGAAAGCAGCTACAAAAGCAAACGTGTGTGAGACTAATCAACAGTGAGCGGGAACATGAGAGGCAGAGTGCAGCAGCTCGCTGCACAACTGCAGGCAGATCTTCACTTTGCAAGCTACTGTGGTCTCACTCGCTCCTATTATATTGAACACACACACACATACACACCAACCCCTTACCCTCCTGGCTGCCTTCTGTCCTATCCGCTTGCTGATAAAGTGGGAGGAGGAGCAAAGTTTGGGCTGACGCATGAATGTAGATTTTAAAATGAATCAGACCCAATGCAACACATGAGAAGACTTTCACAGTGTTTTTGAATCTCAGGGGATGTTAAAACATTTCAGTGAAATCTAATTCAACAGTATCGGTTTTCATATAATAATGAAAACATTAAACACCATGAATTAATGGTGTTTAAAAAAACATCGGACAGCAGCACCAGCCCAAGCCTCATAGTGCAGGAATATGAAGTGAGGCGCACACTGAGGGCGGTGAACCCCAGGAAGGCCGCCGGACCAGATGGGGTAACTGCAAGGGTCCTTAAAGAGTATGCAGACCAGCTGGCTGGGGTCTTCACTAAGATCTTCAACACTTCACTGTCCCAGTCCTGCATCCCGCCGTGCCTAAAGTCAGCCACAATTGTCCCACTGCCAAAGCGTACTAACATTAGCAGCCTCAACGATTACCGACCAGTTGCTCTAACACCTGTTATAATGAAGTGCTTCGAGAAACTGGTCCGACGTCACATCATGTTCTGCTTGCCACCCAACCTCGACCCGCTTCAGTTCGCATACAGAGCTAACAGATCAACTGAAGATGCCATTGCTGAGTAGAGGCATCAGGAAAGCTAAGGCTGCCTATAGGAGGAGGATTGAAGATCACTTTGCTGACAACGACCCCAGAAAAATGTGGCAGGGGATCAATCACATTACCAACTACAGAAGCAATAACCAGGCAACATCTAGGACTGATGCCTCACTGGCTGAGGGTCTAAACCGTTTCTTCGCCCGCTTTGAGACGACCAAGCCCTCAGCTGCCACACCACTTCCACCCGCCCCCAGCACTGGCACACTAACACTTAGGGAGCACCAAGTGAGGTGTGTTCTAAGGTTAGTGAATCGCAGGTCCTGATGGAATACATGGAAAGGTTCTCAGAGCATGTGCTGACGAACTGACCAGAGTCTTCACTAAAATCTTCAACCTTTCCTTGTCATCAAACACCGTCCCGCCCTGCCTCAAAACCTCCACCATCATCCCCATCGCCAAGAAGACAGCTGTGGCCAGCCCAAATGACTACAGGCCTGTTGCACTTACGCCTGTAGTGATGAAGTGCTTTGAGAGACTGGTCTGTCAGCACATCAGGGCCGGTCTGCCTCCCACTCTGGACCCCCACCAATTTGCCTACAGGACAAATCGTTCCACCGAGGACGCTATCACCATAGCGCTCCACACTGCGCTGAGTCACCTGGAGCACCGAGGAAGCTATGTGAGAATGCTCTTTCTGGACTTCAGCTCAGCATTCAATCATATCATCCCGGAGATCCTGGTCCAGAAACTGTCTCACCTGGGACTCTCCACCCCCATCTGCCTCTGGATCAAGGACTTCCTGACAAATAGACCACAGTCTGTCAGACTCGGCCCCCACCGGTCCAGCACCATCACACTCAGCACCGGGTCTCCACAAGGATGTGTTTTGAGTCCCCTCCTGTTTACGCTCTACACATCCGACTGCTCCCCTACCCATCTCTCAAACACCATCATAAAGTTCGCGGATGACACCACAGTGGTTGGACTCATCTCAAGGGGGGATGAGTCGGACTACAGAGATGAGGTCAACAGACTGACTGAGTGGTGTTCAGTTAACAACCTCCAACTGAACACCACGAAAACTAAAGAACTTATCTTGGACTTCAGGAAGGGCAGAGCAGACCCGGCCCCACTTTACATTCACGGGAGCTGTGTGGAGAGGGTACACTCCATGAGGTTTCTGGGCGTGCAGATATCTGATGACCTCTCCTGGACGGCAAATACTACAGCGGTGGTTAAAAAGGCCCAGCAGCGTCTCCACTTTCTGAGAGTGCTCAGGAGGAACAACCTGGAGGAGAGGCTGCTGGTGACATTTTACAGAGCCACCATAGAGAGCATCCTAACGTACGGCATAACAACATGGTATGCAGGGTGCTCAGCTGCAGACAGGAAAGTACTGCAGAGGGTCATCAACACAGCCCAGAAGATCACTGGCTGCTCTCTGCCCAGCCTGGAGGTCACTGCAAACTCTCGGTACCTCAGCAGAGCTGGCAATATCATCAAGGACCACTCTCACCCCAGCAACCAACTGTTTGAACTATTACCGTCAGGCCGACGGTACAGGTCACATAAAACCAGGACAAACAGATTCAGGGATAGCTTCTTTCCCAGAGCTATCACCGTAGTAAATAAGCACAAAAACAATTGAACCTATTCCATACCGTCACTGTCATTATATTATGCTGCTATTCATACTGTCATTATATTAATGCTGCTATCCTGTATATATTGTACATACTATTGTTTGAGTACTTACGATTGTTTTTTTTGTACTTTTTATATTTTATATTTATATTTATTATTGAAACTTGCACCAAGGGAGTGGCACTCCAATTTCGTTGTACTCTGTACAATGACAATAAAGGCTATTCTATTCTATTCTACAACGCTCCACACCACCATCTCTCGCCATCATCGCCTCTGTCAGTGCGCCCCAGGGTGGCTGTGGTTACAATGTAGCTTGCCATCACCAGTGTGTGAATGTGTGTGTGAATGGGTGGATGACTGGATATGTAAAGCGCTTTGGGGTCCTTAGGGACTAGTAAAGCGCTATATAAATACAGGCCATTTACCATTTACCATCTCTCACCTGGAAGTGCAGGGCCGTTACGCCAGGCTGCTCTTTGTTGACTTTAGCTCTGCTTTCAATATGATACTCCCGGACAGACTAATCGTTAAACTGCTGGAGATTGGACTTCCTTCTACCACCTGCCGCTGGATCAGAGACTTCCTCTCAGACCGTGTACAGAGAGTTAGAGTGGTGCCTCATCTTTCCTCAGCCCTCAGCCTTAACACTGGCTCTCCACAAGGCTGTGTACTGAGTCCCCTACTGTACACTCTGTACACACATGACTGTGTTAGTTCCCACCCAGACAACGCAGTCATCAAGTTTGCAGATGATACCACCGTGGTGGGGCTCATCTCTGGGGGAGATGAGACGGCGTACAGAGCTTAAGTTCAGAGGCTGTCAGATTGGTGTGTCGATAACAACCTGGACCTCAATACCAACAAGACAAAAGAACTGGTAGTTGATTTCAGAAGGAGGAAGTCTGAGCTGCAGCCTGTCAGCATCAATGGGGAGTGTGTGGAAAGGGTCTCCAGTTTCAAGTTTCTGGGTGTGCACGTAGACACAGACCTCCAATGGAGCTCTAACACCTCTGTGGTCTTAAAGAAGGCCCAACAGCGTCTCCACTTTCTCAGAATCCTCAGAAAAATGGACCTGAAGAAGGAGCTGCTGACCATCTTCTACTGCTGCTCCATTGAAAGTGTGCTGACATATTGCATCGGTGTGTGGTTCTCCAGCTGCACCACAGCACAGAGAAAGGCACTCCAGAGGGTCATCAATATGGCCCAAAAAATCATTGGACATCCTCTTCCCTCCCTGAAGGACCTGTACAGCACTTGCTGTCTCAAGAGGGCATGCAGCATCCTATGGGACTGCACACACCCAGGACACCGGGTGTTTAAGCTGCTGCCATCTGGCAGGAGGTTCAGGCTGCTGAGGTCCCGGACAAACAGACTCAAGGACAGCTTTTACAACAGGGCAATAGCCCTGATCAATGTAAATAGCTGACCTGACTGGCTACCTACCTGGACTTCTTTTGGGGGGGGTTAACAACGGTAAAAACAGTAATAATAATAATATTTATATTTATAACAAGGTGCAATAATAACTAATGTGCAATAATAACAGTGTGCAATACAAATACACTTCTTCTTCTTTTTTATTACTAAGTTATTATACTGTGTTGTGTTGTGTTGTTTGTGTTGCGTTGTGATGTATCGTGTTACATGTAGTGCAGACGTAGGACAGTTTTCCAATTTCATTGTACTATTTTACTATGTATGACTGTGCAATGACAATAAAGAGTTATCTTATCTTATCAACTTTAGGTGGAAAGCATGCAATCTTTATTTATCTCGCACTTTTCACTGTCACGGTTGTTAAAGAGTGGACTCAGGCGCGGAGCTCAGAAATAAAGACAGTGCATTTATTTACAGTGCAGCAAGGTGACAACAGTTCAAATGTGCAACAATGGTGATAGTGCGTCCTTCTGTGTAAGCCCGTGCGTGGTAGTGAGTGCCCGTCTCTCCTCCAAGTGCTTCCTTTGTGTCCGTGATTCCTACGTCAATCCCTGGGTAAACACACACACGACCGCAAAATGAGTACGTAGATCAGACAGTACGTCAATAACGCTAGCAGCTCGAAAACACTACCAGGCTTAGTGCAACACTCCAGCGCTGTTTGTCGCTCAGCCACACCATTAAGTAGCCCTGCTGAAGATGGTAGTTGATTGGCAGCAGCTGGTGGATTGATTGCAGGTGGGCGACAAGCTCCGGGCGACAGCACTTCCGGGTCGGAGGTAGCCTGTTGCTAGGTTACCTCCTAACACATGACAGCGGAGCCGGAGGGGAAGACAGGGCGACAGGAGAGACACACATACACACGCACACAAATATACACACTGGCAGGTCGACTGGTCAGCGCGCCGTCAGATCCTGACATTCACAGACCAAAAACACAAAGTCCAAGAGCCAACGAGAACCAACATCCAGCATCAACAACACACAACTAAAGAGCAAACCTAAAGTAAAATCAAAACATAAAAGAAGTTTAAAAAAATAAATAAAATAAAAATGTTTGAAAAAAAAAAAAGGCTGAGTCTTACTTATTGCTGGCCGCATGAACCAAACTGCACATGTGGTTATACGGTCACTGAATAGCTCACAAGAACTGGCTAGAGTGGCTCCATACTCCTGGATCCTGAACTCCTGATCATGT